CAGAGGTCTCACCTGTGCCTGCCAGGGTGGACCTGCCAGGCCCAAGGAGCAGAGCATCTCTGCAGGGTGGGCCAAGAAAACCCGCTGCAACCTCCAGCGCTGCCTGCGCTTCCTGCCTGGTGGGAGCGGGGCAGCCCACGGGACCTGCGCCCAGGTGAGGCTTCAGGCAGAATGAGGTTCCAGGTGAGAGCGATCGGGGAAGGAGCCTCAGGTGCGAGGGCAAAGCCACTGGCCTGGCTACAGTGCAGGTGGGTGCAAGGCCAGATGGGAGCCTAGGCGTGGATCAGACTGGGGTCTGGAGATTCAAGGATACAGTGCTGTCTGGAGTTTTTGAACAGAACAGATGAGACTGGACATCAGATTTCTAAATCCTGAGCCTTGGTAAACATAAAGGAAAGGAGGGAGGGAGGGAGGGAGGGAGGGAGGGAGGGAAGGAAGGAAGGAAGGAAGGAAGGAAGGAAGGAAGGAAGGGAGGGAGGGAGGGAGGGAGGGAGGGGAGGAAGGAGAAAGAACCACTCTGATGAGTGATATTGACCACTGAGGGCGGCTACACATGTGTGGGGCTCAGGGACATAGGCATATTCTCTTCTCCATTTTGTTGTAGACCTAACGCTTCTCTAAAAATAATGTGTTTTTTAAATCAATAGTAAAGACTAAATAAAAAATTAAGGATGAGTGATTTCTCAAGTGCCCTCCAGCATAAGTGTCATATGACTCTGATTCAAACTAGATGCCCATTAAGCAACTCAAAAGGAATTGTGTCTAGAACAGCGGTCGCCAACCTTTCGGACCTCATAGATCGCCAGTGGTCCGCAGACCACCGGATGGCAACCGCTGGTCTAGAAATCTGAAAGCTGGCAGCCAGCCGGAGGAGGAAGAACACTGGTGGCAAGGACACCGTGCCCCCCCGCGGGGACTGCCGGCTGGGGGTTCATGAGGAGGCTGGGAGCCAGCCGTGTGTGAGGAGAGCTATGAGGAGGAAGCCCGAGGAGGCTACCCATCATTCAGGCCGGGAAGTCCTTCTCCCCGCCCCTGCCCCTGCCCAGATGAAGGATTGATCGATCCGCAAAAGGAACAGTTAGCCAGCATGGCTTTACTTGCTCAATAGCAATGATTTTTTTCCCAGGAGGGGAAGCCCCAACAAGTCCGGCTCCCACGTGGGAACTCTTACTTATTATGCGAAATTACATGATGCTGATTTGGTCTCCAATTTGAGAGAGGAAACCTAACGCTGCCCCCAGGAAACTGAAACCCTGGAAAGACCATGGAGAACAAAGGGAACGTCCCTGCATCTGCCCCGCCCTCTCCCTTCTCTCAGCCCCACATGCTTGAATGGGACAGAACAGACAGGGAGGAGGCCCTGGGCGATTGGTTACCCGGGACATCAGTCACCCCATGCTACGATCTGGGCCAAGTCCCAGGGACACACACAAACACGGCTCCTGACCTCAGGGTCCCCAGCTTGAAGGGGAGACAAACACACAGGAAATGAAAGAGCAGAACTAGATACTTGACGGAATGATACAGATGAGTGGTTCTCAAACTCAAGTGCGCATCAGGGTCTCCTGGACGGCTCCCTAGACACAGAAGGTGGCCAGGGAATCAAGGTCAGTGGGTACAAATGTTGCCTCCGACAAGTTCCCAGGGGCTGCGGGGGCTGCTGGGAGAGACCACACTCAGAGTATCAGTGACGCAGACCAGTGCTTCCCACACCTCAGTGTGCGATGAGCCCCTCTAAGCTGGGGAGCTCGTGGAAATGCAAATTCCCATTCGGTGGGGCTGAGATCTGCACCCTAACAAGCCCCCCGGTGCTGTCTGGGCCACCATGGAAAACTGGCAAATAGGAAACGAGTTTGGCCTGATATTGGCAGCGAAGGATTAATGGCGGTTGTTGGACTTGGAGCATGGACACAACTTATATAAACGGGGGAAACTGGGCATCTGGGAGAGACCGCCGGGTGCAGAGGCAGGGAGGTGGGAGTGAGAACAGGAGGAGCAGGAGACACTGGCCATGGTCACCACTGTCACATGCTGACGCCAGTGACAGGTGGAAGCCCAGGGCTCCACATGCAGGCGCTTCCCTCCATTCACCCTCCTCCCCACCCTCCCCATTCCAGAAGCTGCTCCAATCCCAACAAGTCTACCGGCAGCTGGTCTTCAAAATGGAAACGATTATTGTTTTGCGAGCCCCACGGACGGCTCCCAGCCCGGCCCGCTCGGCCAACTTGGATGGCGCCTCACCTGGCTGGTTGCAATGGCTTGTTGTTTGGCAGCTGAAGTGACCCCCACTTTTCTTTCCCACCCTCAAGCCAGAGGAGGGTCAGTCTTCCAGGAGTTGAGTGTCTTGAAGGCACGCGGGGCGGCCATGAACTTCTCAGCAGGCCGCTGGAGCAAACCAGTGTTTTGTAGGTGCTGAGTCATGGCCCCCTCCTGACACAGGGTCACGACCACATAAGGAAACAGGAGCGCCCCTCCCTCCCTGGGAAATCTTTCGTTTACAGGCTGATTCTAGCACAGTGGGCATCCCTTTCTCCACAGAGCTGCACTGGTGACTGCAAGAACACAAAGCCCGCAGAACGTCCCTCATGTGGAAACTGAACTGATACCCACTGGATGCTGTCTTGTTCATCGGATGCTTAGTTTCCCCGAGCGGCCATAATGAAGTACCACAATGTGGGTGGTTTCTGAGAGCAGAAACATATTCTCTCACAGTTCTGGAGACCACACGTCTAAAATCAAAGTGTCTGCAGGGCCAGGCTCCCTCCAAAGCCTCTAGGGCCGGATCCTTCCTCACTCCTCCAGCTGCTGGTGGCCAGGTGTTCCTTGGCTTGTGGCAGCATCACTACAACATCGGCCTCCATCTTTACACGGCGCCTTCCCCGTGTCTGTGTCCAGATTTCCTTCTTCTAAGGACCCGAGTCATGTCAGGTGGTATCCTAACATGTTGGATTGGATTAAGGGCCCACCCTACTCCGGTATGACCTCACCTTAAGCAACGACATCTGCAACAACCCATTCCTAAATAGGGTCCCATCCCGAGGTACCGGTGGTTAAGCCTTCAGCACACCTTTTGGGGAACACAATTCAACCCTTAACAGGCACGTGTTATGAGGCCATATTAAAACATATGGTCCCTGCTGAATCTGACCTGGTCTTTTGGAGCGCTTTCTTCTTCTGAATTAAACTAGGACAGTCAGCTATTTACAATAAAATGAAACCTGAACTACAAATCAGGCCACGGTCTCAAGATCAACTGTGAAACAAGGGATCGAACTCTTGCCCACGCCACACTTAACAGCCAGAGGTAAATCTGCAAGATCTGAAAAGCAAGTCAACAAGCAGGTTGGACACCTAATTCATTTATTCATTCAACATACCTGAGGCCCTTCTGAGTGCCATTCACCGGTCAAGGTGCTGATGACACAGCCGAAAACGACAAAACAGACAGATGTCCCGCCCTGACATAGCTTACCTCCTGGGAGGAGAGGACAGAGACAGACGAGTAAGTACACAGTCTGGGCCAAGAGAAAAAAAGAAAGTGAGAGGAGGCGTATGCACGGGATCTGCAGTTTTAATCAGGGCGGTCAAAGGGGGGCCATCATAAGGTGACAGACAAAGGCCTGAAGGCGGGGCGGGCCAGGCCGTGGGGTGAGGGGCAGGGAGGGCACAGCAGGGCGCTGCTCCTCACTGGACGCAGGCCTTCGTGAGCACTCAGCTGCTCAGTCTCAGGGAGGAGAGCCACTGCCTTTTGGCAAACCCCCTCTGAAGGCTGTGCTGGAACAGACCCGGAGGAGAAGGACCAGGTCAGGAGACTCTTTGAGAGACCTGCACAAAAGAGGGGGTGACATCTTGGCCTGGGGTGCAGAGGAGGAGGTGGACATTGCTGGACTCCAGATCAAGGCTGTCAGGACCCACACACTGGCTGCTGGGGCCCAGATGGAAGGAGTCTGGCCCACGAAGCCAGCGCCTGGAAACACCCAGCAGAGTGGGGAGGCCAAGGGCTCAGTTTGGGACATTGTAAGCATGTGTTCCAGCCGCTTGTCATCTTACAAAGAGCACTCTAATGAGGTGGGAACAGGCTCAAATAAACGTGGACCTATTCAGAGGTATTCTTGGTACAGACTGGTCAAAACTGCCTCGAGGCCAGAGAGCCGCAAAGGTGGCGGGAGGAATGAAAAGTAATTTTTTAAAGATGTGACCAGTGGGAACAGGAAAACGAGCGTTTAACCCTTTGTGTCCAGTCGCTCTGGTTAAAAGTGTTTAGTTCTAGAGCGGAATGTGGAGGCAGAGGGGGTCTCGCTCATGTATACCTCCTGCCCGTTTTAATTTTTATTACCATGAGCATTAGTAATTTTATAACCAAAAATTGGCAAGCATTTCTAATGTGGTTTTTAAAAATCACGAGACTAAGAAGAATGCAGTAGATTTCTATGCTCTTACATAGACGAATGTCCAAGATAATAAATGATTTAAACTACTGATATGTAGGCCATAATTCTCTGCATGTACCTGCATCCATGTGTCTGTGTATTCGTACATAGGAAAAGGTCTGGAAGGGTAGGTATAACCTCACAGTGGCTGCCACCTAAGAGTGAGGATGAGGAGGGGCCTTCGCCAGGAAATTTTCACTTTTTACCATAAGGTATACTCCTCGCAGCTCTTGCCGACTTTGAAAAGTACCTACATATGTTTTAATTTAAGGTTCTGGCCTTCCCTACACTTTTCTTCAATTCGGCTTCACATAATCCAAACAGGAATGATTGAATATTTAAAATCAATAGGCAACAGAAACTTTTCAGTCCCCCTTCTCTCTTATTCCTACAAGAAATAATGTACGTGACTCTATTAATGACAAACTCTATTGAAGTTGTTTTCTCCATAGAAGTGTCAAAATGTACGTTATTTTTTTTTAAGGTAAGCATGACTCTTACAAGAATACAGAATAACACATGGCAAGTGTGACTTAACTCATGAATAAGAGAACCACCAGGATGGTAAACGAGCATTTGGGAACTGAGTGTTTACAGTCAATGAAGAAAAAATTGGGAAATGAAGTTACCAGGTTAGAACCCAAACTGGTCCAAGTCCTCCAGGGTAATAAGTCCATAATCCTTGGGGTTCTTGTTTCTACTATTACAAAAATCATGTGCGCCTCATCTGGACAAAAGCCTACCTACCAGAGAAGCATTATCAGAACGTCAAACCTCAGAGGGAAGGTAGGGGAGGGTGGGGGTAAGGGGAAGAGATCAACCAAAGGACTTGTATGCATGCATATAGGCCTAACCAATGGACACAGACAACAGGGGGGTGAGAGCATGAGTGGGGGGGGAGGGGGACCGCAATGGGGCAATAATACATATGTAATACCTTAATCAATAAAGAAAAGACGTTATAAAAAATAATAATAATAATGAATAAAAAAGCCTACCTACCAGTTGCATGTCATCTCACAGAGCCTGGGCCCTAATCAAGAGCAAATAAAAAAAATCAAAAGAAGACACAGCCCTGAGAATGAAATCGTCCCTGGTGGCTCTGTGAGGCTGGGCGCTGTTTGAAATTGAAAGGAGGGGAATCCTCCCTTTGCCTTATTTATAACTGTTGGATACTTTTCTTAACATAAGATACAAATTTACATATTGGCAGCTGTGGTTTTCAATTTTCCAAATGCACTTTGCTCTTCAGATTAATCTCCCTTTCACCATCTTTCGTGTCTGTTTTCAATCAGGAAGGAAAATGACGAACAAGCGATCCTGGAATTGCAATAATGTTCCATTATTAAAACGAAATAGATTTTAATATTATGTTGATACTCACCTGGATGGGCACTAAAGCGTTTATGGGCAATTTAAACTTGGTATCAGGGCCCCCAAAAAAGGGTCGTGTGTCTCTTCTAGTTGATGCCAGCCACAACAACAAAAATCTGTGGATACAACCTGTTTATGTGGATTTGGGACATAGCTTCGGGCAAGTTCCTGCATTTCTTAGCCTCGGCTTCCTGTTCTGTGAAAAATAAGACTTCACTGCGCTGCTGACAGATCCAAACGCGGGTGCTACTTCTGCGCTCCTATTTCACTCTCACACGCAGAGTCACTGGCCAGCATTCCTGCTGTTGGACTTCCTTGCAGGTCTCAGTGTCTGATCATTTGTCTTTCGCTATGTGGGTGTGTACTTTACCTTCTTATGATTTTAAAAAGCATAAGCTGTTTTTTAAATCTTACCGATTGCCTTGTTTTACCTCCAAAATCAAATCGTGTTTCTCATCCTTCTTTCCTTTCTGTAACGAATGCGATGGTCTTCTGATGACCCCTAGCATTAGCGATGACTTTTAACAAATCTCTCCCCCGCTCTGACTTGATGCCATTTTTAACTGGAATCCGTCTCTCATAATTTACTGTCGCGTTTTTTTAGAAATACAGAAAACACCAAAACGTGAAATTATGTGGAGGCTGTAAAATTACACACTGAGCTGACATAGCCCACTGCTGATTAGTTCTCCACTTGCCTCTTGAAAAACTAAACCAGGTGGTTGTCAACAATTTGTTTTTATAAACAACCTGTTCATTCAAATACATTAAATAAATATGCCATAAGAAGAAATATTGCAACGTCAGAGCTTCCGAGGGAGACGGAACACAAGTTTCTATTTCTCACCAGAGGTTCTCACAGGAATCAAACTGGAGTGTGTGTGTGTGTGTGTGTGTGTGTGTGAGTGTGTGTGTGTGGTTGGGTGTTTTGAAGCACTCTCCCATTTAGCCTTGAATTTGCCTGAAATACCTTCATTAAATACAGTTTGCCTGCAGGAAGACTATGAGACCCATAAAGCTTAAAAAATACAGAAACTCTGAATATATTTAGAACCACTGAATTACACACTTTTAATGGATGAACTGTATATGTGAATTGTACCTCCATAAAGCTTTTTTAATGCTACAGAAAAAAAAGAAAAAGACGAGTAAACACTCAAGTCATTATAGTTGATGTGATTGCTGTAAACATTATCATTTCAAATTGCTGTTCCTTATGTAAAACTGTTTTCATTGCTCAACTGATCTGTTTTTATGTCTGTAAAAAGTATTTGGGTATCTCGGGCTAAACGGAATTCATCATTATTTTTTCCAATTAAAAAGTAGTGGAAATATTTCTTCACTCAGTGACTTTTGACTTAGCGTAAGTATTTTCAGGGACAGGTTAAAGAATTAAGCAAGAGATGGGTTTAATCACTGGAAGCATAGAGTTAAGTCTGATGTGGAGATGAGTATCGGTGTTAATACTGAACTGATTTGCCCGGGGTGGCAGAGCTGAAATAGAGTCTGTCTGCTGAGAAAGCCTGCAAACGGGGAGGGGCCAAGATGATGGATGGTGTAGGGAGGGTAGAGAGGCCAGTGAAAGACAGAAAAAAAACCAGGCAAGTTTTAGAAAAGGCAATTAGACCAGGACTAAAGCTGACCTGGAATGTAGTTTGCTATCTCACCAGCCAGACCATAGTTTGCTATCACAGAGTCAGTCAACTGGCTTTACTCAGCTCCAGATTTCAGAAAAGGAAAAAATAAAAACTGCATGCTGAAGAGTGAGGACTAATTTTCTAAGCTAAAAAGCCACTTAAAGCCACTTGGTCTCTCTTACCTTATTTTGTGGAAGATGAACCTTGTAATAAACCAGAATTTTCAGCCTTGTTTTTGCAGAGAGAAAACCTGGAAAACAATGGACTTTGGGTGCTTTTCTACTAGAAAATGAAATGTGGGCAATCTGAACGCCAGCAAACTTAGAAGAATATCTTTAAGGCATATACCAAAGGTACTACTTGGTCAATCAGAAGTTTAGAATTGGAATGTGTAATGCCTAAAATTCTGAAGAAGATAAACGATGAAAATATTATTCTTTAGTTATTGCCAGTAACTTGAGACAAAAAATAACTTAAGAGAAAAAAAGTGTCTGGGTTCTAACCAGGAAGTGCTGACTGTGAACTTCACTAAATTGTTTTTTTCTGATAAAGGATGGAGAAACACTGAGTAACAAATTCAACAACTCAAAAGAAATTTCTTGGGGTTTTGTTTTTTGTTGGGTTTTTGTTTTTTGTTTTTTCATATTATATCTGATCCTAGTCAGGAATAGGAAAAAGAGAATATGATCCAAGAAAAAATAGCTACAAAGCATTATTTAAGTATTTGATGTTCTGGGTAGAATGGCTTGAAGCTCCCCCAGGGTCTAGGAACCTTGCTTTTTATTTTATTTTTTTAATATGTTTTTAGTGAGCCCTAACCGGTTTGGCTCAGTGGATAGAGCGTCGGTCTGTGGACTGAAAGGTCCAAGGTTCGATTCCGACTACGGGCATGTACATTGGTTGCGGGCACATCCCCAGTAGGAGGTGTGCAGGAGGCAGCTGATCAATGTTTCTCTCTCATTGAAGTTTCCAACTCTCTATCCCTCTCCCTTCCTCTCTGTGAAAAATCAATAAAATATATTTTTTTAAAATTATGTTTTGAGTGATTTCATAGAGGAAGGGAGAGGGAGAGAAGGATAGACACATCAATGATGAGAGAGAATCATTAATCGGCTGCCTTCTGCACGCCCCCTACTGTGGGGGATCGAACCCACAACCTGAGCATGTACCTTGACCGAGAATCCAACCATGACCTCCTGGTTCATAGGTCGATGCTCAACCACCAAGCCATGCCAGTCTGGCAGGACCTTACTTTTTAAATGAAAGTTTTCTTAAGGGGGGTTTTGTACATCTTAATGTAACTTTATACCTTCTTTTATAACAAATGGAAAGATAGATTCTATTGGAAAATGTGAATAATTCCAGAAATATTGAGACTTTTTGTTTCCTTTCAAACCTCGTTTCCTTTTAATATTCATCCACCTACAGCCCAAATTCTCCATGTATTTTGCCAGATGTTCTTTATTAACTACAAACTGGGTGATTATTTCTGCTTCATGAGATCCCTTAAACTCAAAAATAAAATAAAATGTAAAAAGTTCCAGGCTGATCGATGGTGGTGATTGCAAGGAGAAAGCCGCAGAAGTTCCTCTCCGCCTTTCTCCCAATTAGGCCACTTCCGCCCCTAAAGGCTTTCCACAGCAATAATAAACCAGTTTGCGAGATCCCAGGATGCAGGAGCGGCATCTTTGAAAACCAAACCTCAATGATAAAAACATTAAAAATGTAGATGGCATGGCTGCCTTTGGCTTGCTCTCCCTTCAGCTTCCTCACACCCACTCGTTTGTTGGCAGCGCCCAAATAAAACAGAAATTTTACAGCTTTATATTTACTAAGTGCTTTTGTCAGCTCCTCACCTCCCCATCCCCCTCCATCCCCCTCCCAATTTATTCTGTGAAGAGTTTGAACAGTGTTTGACTTTTAGTAAGGGTTCAGTAAATGTTGATGATGACCATAAGTACAGTCATTATCTGCAGACAGAAAATTATGTTCAATATTTAAATCCTAACCTACCTTATCAGTGATTTCTAGAGAAAGTCAGTGGAAGTTGAATTCTTTCAAATCGCTCTCCTGTAGGACATTTGTTTATTTTTAACCCCAAATGATACATCTCTCTTTCTCGCTACATAAAATAGCTCTGCTCTCAAAGCTAATGCCATGGAGAGAACATGGGCAGGGGACTCTTCTAGATTAAAAGAACTCAAAGAATGAAGGCCTGGGGTGAGGCAGGGGTGGGGAGAAAGGGAGCAAAGGTGGGGAAAATTGGGGACATCTGTAATACAGTCAACAACAAGAAAAAAAATTTTTTTTAAGAACTCAAAGAGACATAACAAAATGCAATGTAATTTGATTGACTCCAGATCCAGAAATAAAAATCTACACAATACATTTTGGAAACAATTGGTAAAGTTAGAATTGAGGCTGGGTACGGATTATATTATAGAACTGTTCATTTTATTAGGTATAATAATGGCATTGTGGCTATAAAGGGGGATGTCTCTATTCTTAGAAGATGCAGGCTAAAATATTTAGTGGGAAAGCATTATGGTGTCTGCAACTTATTTTCAAATGGTTCAGCAAAAAGTTACATATTTAAATATAGAGAAAAAGCAAGTGTGAAAATTTTAACGACTGGTGAATCTAAAGAGTGTTTACTATTTTATACTTCAACTTTTCAATAGATATAAATTTTATAAAAATTGGGGCTAAAAATATAGCAAAAAATTATTTTACTAAAAATATTACACATTTCTTTACATATTTTACTATTAACACATATAATTATACATTGTTGTTACTTATTTATACTTTATAAAAAGCATACCTATTCAATATAAATACTTAATCTGAAATTAACTACCTTAAACCAACTAACTTTTAGTGCTCATGTATGAAGCTTTTTATCTTAAATAAAAATAAAAATCACTCAACACCTACTTTAAACTAGAGACAGTGAGACGCCCGCTGTATGAATCATGAATTAATATTTCAAAGTTAAATTTTTCAATAGTTTCTTCTTTGTTTTTCTTCTTTGTCTAGCATAGTCTGCTTTAAGCTCAACGTCGCATCTTGAAATCCAGGATTTAAGTCTAATACTTTCTTGAAATCTTCCAAGGCATCATCAAAGTATCCTGTACCAGAATCCAAAAAAAAAAAAAAAAAAAATGGGAGAGAGAAACAGCTGAGTATTTTCTTACATAATTCACAGCAAAGTTAGGATACACATGCTTTTATATTTATGAGCTTTCAACCCCTTCTACTGAAGAAATTTTTCCTCTTAATAATGATATAGGAATGTCTAC